TACTACTACTACTACTACTACTACTACTACTACTACTACTACTACTACTACTACTACTACTTTCGAGGTGTTTCGCCTTGCTGTAACTAAAACTGACTTTTAAACTCCATATGATGTCGTCAAGCAATCAGCGCTTAGATTACTTTGGAACAGATTATCGTTCTCGCACCACCATTGCATATCATTCATTCATGTACTTTGAAATACGCCGCGGTTAAACATTGTTATCCGAGATAAAGTCAGCTGAGATGAGGAGGAAATCAATGTAGTTAATAATAACTTTTTCTGCAAGTGTTTTCCTAAGTATCCAAATTCTCAGTCGATATTACCGCCACTCGTGAACATAATATGTTGTTTCAATTTAGACTTATTTTTACCTGGATTAGAGTTTACCTTTTATAGGAAAATATTACTTTTTAAAGTCCGGATAATATTGGCCGGAGTCAATTCATGGCCGTTTCCTTTTTTACTGCGTGTGCGATTGTTGGAAAAATCGAGAACCTTCAGACATTGTTGCCCCACAACTATGGAGGACAATTTTCTCAGCTTCGCCCCAGTTAAGAATCCGAACTATTCTCGGACGCTGTGAGATATCTTTTCATGCCGCTTTTGCAAGTGTAAGAGTATTCTTTTGAGAACATACCAACAGTAAATTCCACCGGCAACACTTTGACAAAACGTTCTTTTTTGGCTGCAGACATAAATATCTTTTTACAAAAATATTGACGCCCCTTTTACTAACCCTTAGGCAATGAAGCATATTTCTTTCCCAGTCATACCAGGTTCCACTCTATTCGTTCCTCTCATCCTCCTCCATAAAGCTTATATTCACTAAAATATCGCCTCGAAGAGCCAGTAAAGCCCGTCAGCTTTAGACACAAGTCAAAGTGCCCATTTAACGTGTTTTAGCCGAGCACAATAGTTTATCTGATTTAGAACTTTTAGCTATTTAGCTAAATTGTTCGCGAAAGACTACAAGTGTTTGAAGCTCTGTATATTTATCGCGCTTTCCGTCGAGTACTCTCTTGTGAAAGATGACTGGCAATTTCTTTAATTGAAAAGCGCTTGCCTTCCAAACAATTAAAAGCACGTTGTCTACTATTGTCATACACGATTGTGTTGATGTGATAAACTAACGATAACACCTTTGTTCTCTCGCATTACTGCACAAATAAACACGTTATGCTGCGGCACATTTCGTGACGGCAGAATAAGAGGATTCCGACGGAATTTACTCAAGGGGGGTTTAAATAACCTCCTGAAAGTGGCACAACAGTCTTTCAATTAACTGTTGCGAAAACTTCCAAGAGACTCACTCGCTGCTTACATAAACGATTTAAGCCCCGCCACTGCGGTTTCTTGCCTGTTTATCTTTGATCCTACGGGTTACAATTAAAACATTCTTTTGAAGGGCCGCCAAAGGGGTCCCAAGTGGGAATGGACGAGTGAAGCGCCATTGCCTTAATTGCTTTCAGCAAGAAAGCACGGCGTTTTGTACCTCTCAAAGGAAAAACGTTCTCTTTTCGAATCATGCGGTAATAAAAATTCTCGTGTGTTTAAAAACGCGTACCTCTTTAACGCACGCGCTCCAATTTGCGTTTTAATTCAAGCAATTAAACTACTGTAAACCAAAAAACCTCAGGGCATTTCTTTGTAAATATTTGTATTAGATTGCTATCATTGCATAAAGAATTAGCGCCTGCTCCAATGACGTGCGCGAGCCTGTAATTGAAGAGGGCTCGAATTAACTCTGCGGTTCGAACGGTCGTAGACTGTAATAATTGAGCAATTAGCTGTTGCCTTTTTAGTCACCGCGGCCAATCACACATCAGTATGGAAGCTAATCGCTATATAGTCCACCCCTGGAGCACACTTCCATTTATTTCTGGGTTGTCGTTTGCCGTGTCCCGTGGTTTAGGCTCGTTGAGTTCATTCTTTGATTACCGCTCTGTATTGAAGAGCACACGTAGGTTACTCTAGTTCTCATTCAGGAGCTTAAAGACGTATTGCTGAAAGAATTACTAAGAATTGAGTAAAAGGACAACGATTTCGGTTTTTTCTGCGTCGAAAATGGTAAGTTTAAATGCCAAAATATCAATGAGTTTGTAGTTTCTTTGTGAGGCTTATTTATGGCGAGCAGTTTGTGCGAGTTCGTAAGTTTAATCGCATTTAGCAGAAAGCTATTTGTGACTTTTGGAAATACTTATTCAATTAATACGAACCTCTAATTTGTTTTGACTTGACGAAAATGCGGCCACGCCATGGATATGGCAAGCAACCAATAATCGAAAAAGCACATGTAAAAATAATTGTTTTCACGCTAAAACCCCGGGAACTGAAATGACGGTTCTAAATAGCTAAAACATTTTTTGTTCCATGGTATCGCCGGAGGTCCTCGAGCCGTCAAGCCGCGTCGAAGGCCACCGTTGTTTCAAAACTCGTGGCACTTAAACTATTTGCAAGCAATCCGGGTGTGAACAATGTTTAGAAAACAAATAACACTAATATTTTCCTCTGTTTTGCCCTGCAGTTCCGTGTTTCTACAGCGGCGCTTTTGCTGTCATTCTTGTCAGTTGTGCCCGTTAAATGTTCTATAGATCTAAAGGAATCGGTGGAAGAACTTACGGCCCAGATCAAGCATCTTGCTCACAAAGGATGTTTCTCAAGTGATGCTTTTAAACTTAAAAGGCATTTTCTCCGTGACAGAAACACGACCTGTAACGATGGTACACCGGCGGGGTAAGTAACTACTACAGCCATCAAATACCATTAGGTTCATTAGCTGTTATCGTTTGCGGTGACACTTGTGCCGTTGAAATACTTATCTACGTAATCATCACTATGAGAATCGTACAGCGCTTTCATATGCCTTGCGCGGGCCGAGCTTGGCACTCGGATAGCCTCACAGGGAGAATTCATTCGGATTAGTCATACACTTGTCTGCGGTGCTTTGAAGATCTCAACTTCTATTTTGGGCCTTCCTCGACTTTTTTTTATCTCGAGTATATCGATGTTCAGACAAGGCTTGTTCATGTGAAACTAGCAGTCATAGTTTAGAACTAATACTAGGAAGTGACGCTGAAAACAGCAATCAAATAAATCTCCTAATTCACGATAATAGATACTTAAATTTATTCGTCTAGAGGGGTCCCGCAAAATTAGCTTGACATGTATATTCGCGTCCGAAAAGTATATATCGACACTGAAAAATTACACGTTACAAGATCTGATTTGCCGATATGCTTTGACTTCATTGTGTTGTCTGAGAAAACGTGTATCTCATTCCGGCTTTGCTGTCTAGGGCTATTTCACGTGGTTCCCCTGAGTTCTTAGCCTCTTCCAGGCGTCGCTAAATCTGAGACGGCACCCAGCCACCATTGTGCTCTTTCCTGACCCAAACACTGCCAACTAAAGGGCGAATTTGACACCATAAGAGGCAAAAGTATTTCTCAAACTTGTCAAAACTATGGTAATTTCCTAATTTGGTTGGTGATCGATACTGGACAAAAACGCCCTTCTAAGAAAAAAAGTTCTAAATATTTCTAGGGTGTTACTACACTGATCAGGTTTTCATAAAGGCAAGATAAACAAACATAAAGCAGAACTGACAATGTTCCGGAAGATTCCGTAAGGCTGCTTGATTTGATAAGATGTACATCTGAAGAAACCGAACTGATTTCAGCAGACGTTTGGAGCCAGCGTTTTGCATGAATGTGGTTTTGTCCGGTTCTGTTGCCCCTTGTAACTGAACCGACTGTTCTTTATAGTTTCGACTACACAGCTTATGATGGACATGTTTCAGCTCACATGGACAAAGTGTAGAAAGCTTTTGAGTGCAACCTCGATCTGGCTATATTGAGCCAACGGAGTGTTCTTAAAACGACTATCACCAGAACACTATATTGCTTAAGCTGTTGAAGTGAATAACTACTGACAGCAATTAATTAAGTGAAGTTGATTCTTCTTGCCAATTGGACACATTTCGGTAAAGAGGTTTGATTTCTTGAGCCAGAAAGTTACTCATTTCAGTATATTTAAAAGGGAAACTATGGGAAGAATTGCGAGATTCAGTGAGTGCTGGTCTTACCCGGCCCGAAGTATCACTGATGACGAACTGTAATCCTTGTTAATTAAGATCCTAAAATTTCAAATTGCTAATACCTTAGGGTTAGCTGGTTAGTTCTTGAGAAGACCAAAGGTCTACTCAATGACAGACGGTATCCAAAATATGCCGCGGATAGTAGCTCTATTGTTGTTTTTCTTGTTTTTCTCCTTTTCAGTTCATGGATCTTGTGCAGCCTGTACAACTATTGATCAGGCGTTTTCTATAGCGCTGCGCCTGTTGTAATTTTACAACAAAAATCGCTTCTTTTGGATCTAAAAGTTACCATTCCTGCTGGCCTTTTTGTTGTATTGGTCATTATTCGTGTTAGCTATTTGCCACTTGTTGCTCCAGTCATTGCTACCATCGTTTCGTCGACGCCAGTGATTGACGACTTTAAATTCCTCGGAAACACCCCAAAAAATTGTCATAGTTTAGCCTTTAAACAGGCACACGGTACAGTTGGGTTCCTTGTAATCAGAGAAAGAGTTTTCCACGAAAAATGTCAAAGCTTATATCAATATCTTTCCTGTTATCTTTTAATTATTCTCTGCTCTAAATGCTTAAATAGGGTTTGTCCTTTACCAGAATTACGATGGGCATCTTTTTTTGATCAAAAGTGAGAGTCAAACCCTTGCACAAGATCATGAGCTGTAAACGATACCTTTGGAAATGGGAGAGCGCGAAATGAATTCATGTTAGGCTTAATTACAAGTATTACAAATGCGCTCTCAATTCATTCATTTGCACCTTGATTGGTTGCACTTAAGTCCTTTTTGTAAGTGCCATTAATAATGTAATTTTAGGACAAAGAAAGCTATTCAAGCATACGCAATCAATTCGACCCTCTCCGTAGACATCTCTAGATCATTAAATCATTTTGCATAGCGGTTGTAGAAAGCTATCGCACATCGTTGAAGACGTAGCGTAGAATGGAAATAGAACTAGAAACAGCGAAGAAAATTCACTGTCGTGGTACGCAATTCTCATAAAATTCATCGCATAATTCAGTCTTCTTTTCCTGTGGAGACGATCTTCCAGGTCATTACCTCTTTTGGCTGATGGCGAGCTCTGTTCAGCAGTGGTTGCTTTCTCAAGGTTGTATTGGCGCCCTCTGGTCGAGTTTCTAGCGATTTTTATGCTTATTTAACTGTCCAAATTAACAAATTTGGTTACAAAAACTGACAAAAAGCGCTTATAAACCTCCTCGTTTTATCTTCCTTTCATGTTTACATGTCAACTGAGATTTCAGAATCCATGTATATAAATAACCAAAAAAGAAATTTCATAGTTTATTCAAATCCTGAAAATATTTGAACTGTTTCACTGCTGAGATAATCTTCACATTTCTGTTTGTTATACTATAATTATAGTGTTCACACTGCTTGTATATCAGGTATGTATATGTCGGTTTTCACGAGTTACACAGTGTACGGATATGTACAACTTTTCTTGTCTTGTCATCTCTGCTTCGTTTCAGATACTATTTGAGGAAAGCTCACGGGAGCAAAAGATGGATTGTGTATCTAGACGGTAAGTAATACTCACAGAGGAACTTAAAAGACTCCGACTATAAAATAGACAACAAAAACAACAACATAACAAATAAAAACTGCTTTTTGTGGGTGGGGGAGCGCTATCGTTAGAGAAAGCCAAGGTGACTCTGCCTGCTTTGCCCCTTCTGTCAAGATTACCCAAGTTTAAATTTCATTTATCCTCCTCCTTCCCACACCCTCTAAAAAGGTTCAAAAGAAGCAAAAGCATCTCGACAGCTTTCATTTAACAGCATAATAAACAGTAATACATGAAAGCGCTCCTCTGAAGCTTTCGTTTGAATGGTTACTCAATAAGGTTTTCAACCACCCACCTTCAAAGTTGGAACCGTCTTACAAGTAAAGTACTTAAGTATTGCTAAATAGCTTTCATTTTGAATAGTCAGACACTAGAATTTTATCTACAGACTTGAAAAGTTAGAACCGTCTTGTAGAGTACTTCTAGAGTACTTCGTCAATTGAAGTATTGCTCAATAGCTTTTATTATCAATGGTCACGCACCCTCAGATTACGTCCACAGATAATTTGGAACTAATTAAGCTTTGACTCTTGTATTTATTTAAAGGTTAATTCAAATTTGAATACATCTTTCTTGCCGACGAGGAGGCACTTGACATTTCGATAGACCCAATTTAGCCAGAATTACGTCTTTTCTGGTAATTCCTTATCCTTTTCTACCGCAGCCATTGTTTCCACCTACATCAGTGCAGTTAGCAAACGCACCGATCACCGCGTTGACCGGAAATGGTGCTCACATTTGATCACATTAACTAATTCCAAGCAGATTAACAAGTCAGGGGGCAAATACGAGCCTAATGGGATCAACGGTATTATCTGCAAAATGACGAGAAATGTCGTTAAGTCATCCACAGATACTGATATAGAGAGCTTCAATCTGACAAAATGCCCATTTACATGTTACCTTTTTGTACCACAAAGCAGATTTTTCTAGGTCAGACTGGTGCATTTTTGGCCCCTTTTCTTCTATTTCGATTTCGAAACTAAGAGTAAAATAAATTAGTCGCTAACTCAAGAAATGTCAGCTTCTGGTATCGAACAAAAATAACAGAATATTGTGTCTTATAACTCGACCGTCAACGACTAGATTTAATTCTTATTGTCGATCCGATAGAAAATATATTATTAGCTCTCTTTATCTTTTCCTTAATCATCCGAACTCCTTAAAAAGACTCCCTCAGAGTATGTCCTTATTGTCTTTTTGGCATTTTGTAAACCTTTAATTAAATGTTTTGGTCTAATTTGTAAAAAAAAACAACAACAACATCAGTTTGCATGCGGCCTATTCTTTGATTTTCGCGCCAACATTTACGTCTGCCTCCCTGTTTTGAATAAAGTGTGCGGTTAAGCATGTTCTTTAAATAGCGTGAATTGCTCTTTCTCTCAGTGTCTATCTACTTAAATGAATAGTTTGGTTTTTCAAGAAAAGATACATGTTTGAAATCTAGAGGGTTAAAATAAGTAATCCGGCTTGTTGTGCGTAAGGGGTATTTGCCTTCTGTTGTCAGTTAGTGTTTCTGTCATTCCAGTATGCAAAGAATATTCCGTAATATCTCCAGTAAGGTGGATAAAAAAGGTATTCTCGGCTGGTTCGCCAGGTTAATTGTTGTGGGATTGTTCCACAACCTTTGCAGATAAATTTGATTGGATTTTCATTCCAGAGGAGCCGTAAAAAAAGCCACAACCTCAAAGCGAAATTGCAGCGCAATTTCTACGAAAACAATGCTGTTTTTTTTTTTTTCCTTATTATATTTCCGGCCACCGTTTTAACACCACACAGGACATTTATTTCACCTAATGAACTTGCGACGCCTTTGTTCTTGTTTTCGTCAAACTAAATGCTAAAATGTTTACTCTTTCATTTGAAAAAATATTTTCAAAAGCAAAGCCGATGTGATTACCCCTGCTGCGTAACGTTTAGCAGCTTTTTAATTCCTCTTCGATTCTTTCTATCTTCTGCTTTTTTTTATCTTAAGGTGGTGAGTTCTGTGACAGTAGCGCATCTTGTGGAAAAAGGTACAGAGACGTGAGACAGCTGATGTCGTCAAGGTCTTGGAATGAAACGAGAATAGGTATAATAAAGATCTAACTACGATCGATGTTTACCGCCTTGAAACACTCTCTTCGTAAATCCGTTTGATTTTGCCGCATGCTCTAAATATGCAGCAGTCTTTTCAACAGTGGGTGTCACAAGTTGACACTGATCCGTTTGATCTTTCTACAGTAGTACGAATGCCCCCCAACCCTCCCTCCCAGCGTACCCACCTCCAATTCAATCTGCAACTACTATGAATTCTCCGTTCTGTTCTCTTTGACTTGTTTATAATGGGGAAGCAGGGATGGTGCAGTCGTAGCTCAGAGATGGCGCAGTGGTCAGAGCGCTCGCCCTCCACTAATGTGTCCGGGTTCGATTCCAGCCCGGTGCCATACATGGGTTGACTTTGTTGTTGGTTCTCGCCTTGCTCTGAGAGCTTTTGTCCCGGTTCTCCAATTTTGCTCCCTCCACAAAAACCAACATCTCCAAATTCCAATTCGACCAGGACAGGGGACGCGCATGAAATCCAGCTAAGGCTGACGTTGCTTCCTCTCAAAATATTTTTGTTTATTCGTTTATTTACTTGTTTCGTGATGTTGCTGTAGATTCCTTGATGATGAGCATGTCCTCGGTCAATTCCTCCCAGCTTCCGACTACTGCCGACCGCGCGGTAATCAAATCGTTGAGCACAGTTCAGACAACGAAACAGCCGGCAGTAGTCGGAAGTTGCGGGGAAGAGCCGCCGAACATTGATTGATGGTAGCGAAAAGCGCATTTGTCGGTTGAACTTTGAATTTTAGAGTACGCATGTTATTGAAAGGCGCAGTAAAATCGCATTATAATCTAAAGAATGTGTCAATGCTTTTTACAACTTTAAACAGATAACAAAAAAAATATAAGTTCAAAAAAAGCTTTAAAACTGTTAGCAAATTGTTGCATACGTTTCTTATCTGGATGTTGGGCATTAACCTTCCTCTGGATTTTGGTCCTCGAAGACTCCTAGCCTCGTGTCTCCAGATGAATTTTTCAGAGACGACAAGGCCTTTGTGATTCCTGGCATTAAGCAGGTTTTGTGAGATTTCAGATCCCCTATGACAGAAAAAGCAGCCTTGCGAGTAGACTAGCGGAGAAGTTGTACTCCTCTTTGTGCTTTGATTTGCCCTCAATCAACAGTTTTCGAACTGTACCCTGGATGTAAAGGAACTGTGTTACGACTGAGTTTAGTCTATGTTATCGCGTTTTGTCAAATACTCGCAAAGAAATTATTTCTATGGATCTAAATGATGAAACCACAGCTTATTTCACATTTATTTCTGTAACAGGCAGTGGGATACTATCAACTGACCCTCATGAAAACCCAAGCTGGTGGAATGCTAACCATGTGTAAGTACCATGTGTACACTCTTTCCAGGCGTTCAGGTCATTGGTACTGCAGAGGAATTTTGTTTTGCTCTATTTACCTCATTAGCTTAAATTCTTCAGTTTCTAATCGAGTAATAAAAATTGAAAGAGCCTAGTACAATGAACTGCCGTGACAAATTTGAGCCCTATGTGTTAATACTCACTTTCTTTGTGTTGCGCGGGGTGTAAAACTGCAATGCTTTCCATCCAGAAATTATGCAGTTTTCGAAAGCCAACATCTCCTTCAATGCTACACCAAAAGAGCTACGATCGCTACAACAAAAGATTGGCGATAGTTGCGATCATATGGAAGCCAATCCTTACCGGCAAACCACAGAATTGACTGATAATATACTCCAGGCTCAGTGCTAAACCTGCAGTACAAAGTAGGAACAAAAAACTTCAAACAAACAAAGAGGATGACTTGAGAACAAACTCCTCTCAATGGACATTAACAACTATCAGAAGCCTACAAACGACCTATTCAAGACATAAACAAAAGCGACGGACTGACTTTAAACAGAATGAGTTAATTTGACTAACAACCGAGACGGACTAGAACCGACCAATGACTGTTGGCGAAATTTACACCAGCGAATCTTACAGCCAATACCATCACAGCTAAACTGACCAATCAGTTTCAAAGGACCGGACTTGTAACACCATCGACTGACAAACACTTTCAGGTAGACGCTGAAGATGACTTCCGCTCAGTTTGTCCAAAAGTCACCCTCACGAACTACTAATCTTATCATTGTTATTTGTCATCAGGTACGTTCCTTACTGCTCAAGTGACGCCTGGAGTGGCAATGCATCTAAGTGGGAAACAGGAGGTAAGATCGTATGCATTATCAACCTGACATTGATTGTGTTGTTTTCTTAATACTACTGGAGCAAGGAAAGGCTTGGTATACCTAAACAACGTCGCCTCCTCCCCTCCCCTCCCTCTTTTAGACATGAGAATCAAAGATACAGTCAAAGTCTTTGTTTTCTTGCTGTGCGGTGAACAAATAGACCTCTTCAGAAACCAGAAGAAACCTGGGGCAAGGCTCTTCTCGCTGTGGCTTCTGGGACAGTTACTGGAGTCATGACAAAAGACGAGAAGGTTTATTGTCTCCATTAACGATCCCTCAAGTGACTGCGGGATGGGACTCGCCTCATATTGAAAGTACAATCAAAACGAACACATTTCACAGTACCGTGTAAAGGTACATTAGACATGTAACAGAATTGATGGTACCTTCCAACCGTCGTCTGCCTATTGCCTATAGCAAAAGTATCGTACACCAGTTTACCATGTTCAGTGGTTTGCTGGTGTACTTCTATCTCTTGGGTCGGTGAAATTTCGGAACAAAAAGTTTCTTTTTTTCTGTGCTCCAAAACCTTGCATTCTAAAAATTACCAAAATCTCATACACTCACTTTGGCTTAATCTGAGTTAGAAAATACTCAGGGGCTGTTGCCTTACGATTTTTTTAAACACCTTGTCATCAATTTACGTAACTATCCAGGTTTAATTTGGTATTACATAATTCTCGACAAATTAGCATAGTGTCGATCCGAAGGAAAACAAAGTTATGTTGATGTCTTTATCCGAGGAAAAAGTTAAGGCCTGATATGAAAAAAAAAAAATAAGAATGATTATTTTTTCGTGCTTTGCGTTAACCAAGCTGCCTTTTAATGTCAAATACATGCCATTTTTCTTGGAAACAAATTCTCGAGTTTCCCACTAAGTTTTCTTTTTTTCTTTACAGAACGGTTCTCATTTCTTGGAACCAGAATATTGGAAAAGGTCATCGAAGAATTAATGAGAAAGGGACTTGCTGAAGCCAAGCGTCTTCTTCTTGCCGGCAGCAGGTCTTTAAACATTATTTTAACTCATTTTAATTGTCGTTATTAACTTTTTGCAACGTTGCTCCACCATGCAAATAAGGGTCTTACAGTTTGTGTCTCTTTGGCATTTCTTATCTCTGTGTTCAACTCCGTCGATGTTGAAGAACAATGCAAGTGTATTCTGATTACCTTTTTAATCTGTTTTTGATGGCCTGCTGACTGACAAACCAGCGATCCAACCAGCCAAAGGAAAAGTGAGAAAAAAAATATCAAACTTTATCTGTGGCAACAACTGTGTTAAAACCGCGTTTATTATATATTTTGTTCCTCCCCACTACCGTGGAAAGTCGTCAAAAACCTTGCAACTAACTCATGAGCGCATTTCCCCATCCCCCGACATTGAAGGGAGGGGGGGGGGGGCAAGTGGTCCATATCGCCGGTTTTTATCCCGGTGTGTGTAGCCTTAAGCGAATAGGGTATTTCTACTTCCTCCCCCCCTGATGGGATGCTAGTCCATTGTAGGGCTACCTATAGCATTAAATTCACTGATACCCATTTACACGCCTGGGTTAAGAGAGGCACTGTGAGAGTGAATTGTCTTAGATATAGACATGCACATAGCCATTCAGTTTTCTCAGTGGGCAATTTTGTCTAAGGGGGAAATGCGCAATGAGATGAACCCTATGTGAAGCACCAACCCGTTAGCCAAGGCCAGACCACAACACCGGGAACTCCGTGTCCTACTCTGTTGATCTTGCCCAAGAACACAGCACTCCGAACGATCTGAAGTCGAGCGCACTAACTGCTAGGCCACCGCGCCTTCACTAGGGAAGGGGCAGCACTTACCTGGCCACCGCGCCTCCAATAGGGAACGGGGAGCACTTACCAGGAGCACTTACAGTTAGCCCATGTTCGATGTACCAAAATTCTCACGTGGCACCGAGGCTTTCTGCCAGATTTGGCCTTGTTTATATGTATCAAGTCTTTTAGGAACTACCGAGCAAAAGAAATCAAAAGAATCTTAGAAAATTTGCAATTTTGGGAAAAGAGCTTCAGGGCCATTTTAGAATTTTGACATATAGAACATGGGCTATTTCGAGTTTTCGCACGTCTTTTGCCATAATATAAATTTGTCCAGCGTTATACAAGCATGGAAGCGACAAAAACCAGTGAACCAAACAACCAACAAACTGACAAACAAACCGACGAAAAAGCAATCAAATACAAACGAAGAATGGAAAAACGAACAACTAGAAAAACAGGTAAAGGAAGAGCCTTGCAAGCGAGTAAGTGAATCTGAGGGTGCCTAAACGAACAAACCAGGAAACGAACATAAATGAACTTAAGGGTAAACTTCAGCGCCACTAACGAGAAATGAGGAATGACATGTAATATTTATTTGACAGTGCTGGTGGTATAGGTGTAATCCTTAACTTGGACAGATTGGCACGAAGAATTAAGATGGCAGGCCTTAAAGTTGAGGTCCGAGGTCTGGCCGATTCTGGGTGGTACTTAGACATGCCAATTCCAGAAACCAACCAGATTCAACAGGGAATGGAGTAAGTAACCACGTGACATGTCGTGTGATCGAAAGTTTTCCTTTGTCCGACCTTGTTTCCAGATCTCTTCACTTTACCAGTCTCCTCTCGGCTTCGCTGCTCCAGTACTCTGCTGCTGGGCGGAACAAAACTATTCACCGGAAAACTTCAGATCATTCAGTTGGATACAAAATAATGGAATTGAATAAATTAATTAATCTATCAACTGGCCAGCCGTTTTATGAGACATATAGTTAAATCAATTCGTCTTGTCTGAGCGCATAGAGGTTACGTTGCTTCCTCTTCTATTTCAGTTATTGGCGCGGTGTAGTTCCGGAAGACTGTGCAAGACGAAATCCTACAAGAAAGTGGAAATGCTATTTCGCTGAGAACGTGTACCGCACAGATAGTAAATCTCCGAAACCCAGTAAGTTATCCTAAAGTTATCTTACTTTTCTAAACTGTTTCTACGTGATCCCCGAGAACAGGGCTTAGAGAGTACCGTAAACTGCCGCTTATAAGCCACCGCCCACCCCCCCCCCCCCCCCCGCGCTTAGGAGCCTCCCTCTGCTATAGGCGCATCTACCTGTAAACCAAAAAATATATCCGGTTCTAAGCCCCCCCTCTAGCTTTCCTTTCCATGTACTACGCGTGAATATTGTGTTGGTTGTTTCCTTAAACATAAGTAAACAGCTGTTGTGTTCTGAACATGGTCAAGGCCAAAACGGCGAACCAAAGCATACAGCACTTTCCCTTCCCCCCCCCCTCCTTATATGTCCCTAGTGAGTAGGAGTGACTGATTTACAAACCGAGCGCATCAGACCGAACTCTTGCTCTTTCTCATAACCCTAACCGTGTTGTTTTTAAATTTCACCAGGTCCGTTGTTCGTTTTCCAGTGGTTGTACGACCAAGCACAAATAGCTTGGGTCGTGTCAGGAACTTTTCGAATGCCCGACGATGCCCACAAACAAAAGCATATTCACAAAATTGCTCTCCGACTTGGGTCTGAGTTGAGAAAGTCACTCAATCGCACTAAAGACTTAGCTTGGTAAGTTTTCGACCGGGTTTTTAGAGAGTCCACTATTATTACCGTAGCCTTAGCATGGTAGTCAATGTTTTGAATGTTGTTTCTTTGTTTGTTTGTTTGTTTGTTTGTTTGTTTGTTTGTTTGTTTGTTTGTTTGTTTAGAGCACTAATATTAAATTCAGTTTATTCCCGGTAGATGTGAGATGTGATTCGTTAACATTAACACCAAGTTGATCTCATTCGTTCTTGCAGTTCCGTATTTGTTCCATCGTGCATTGCTCACACAATCCTTACGCGGGAGTAAGTATGGTGTTAAGTCGACTCTTGTACTTCAAACATTACTGAAATGTTTGTTATGGCTATTTAACTTCGTATTGTTGTTATGGTTAAACCTATCTGCTGAATGGGAGAAACGCTGGCTGTCGTCCTCTCGATTTTTGTACCCCCTTTTTGTTTATACAACCCAGGCTGAATAGGTAGGATGCGCTTTTCAGAGCGTTTAAATGCGTTCTTACACGGGAACACATAACAAGGGACCAGACACGACAGTTAGTTGTCTTGCCCCAGAACATAACACAATGACGCCAGTCAAGACTCATAGCCGGATCACTCCATTCTTTGTCTTCGTCTCGAGGGGGGTGGCTTAAAATTAGTTCCCACAGTTCGCTGGAGAAATTTGAAAACGCAACAATCACCGGCCATTTTCTTTTTTGTATTTGCTATCCTACCTAAAAAAGCATATAGATATTGCCTTTAACACTGTCTAAGCTATCAAACTAATTATAAGGCAGGTCTAAAACAGGGTATTGATTGAAGAGTCAGCTCTTAAATAGGGTATCGGATTTTTGGTCAAAATCGCAGATTTTGACCTTAAATAGGCCATCAGTAGGGTAAGGGTTTTGGGAATCGGACCGCACACCCCACCCAATTTTTCTGGGAGTAACTTTCCCCCACCCCAGATGAGATTTACGTTTAATGGTGGCTCTTTATCAATTTTGTTCTAATCCACAGTGATTGGCTGAAAGTCGTGGTAGGTGGTAAGAACCTAAATGATGCTATAGACGAATGGTACCAGTCCTCCGGCAAAAGCTTGGCCAGCTGCAGGCCGCTGATTGAAAGCTGTCCTCTGTGGCGTTTTCAGAATTGCGCCAGAACGTGTCCTGCATTAGATAAGTCGTTATTACCGAGCCCACATGGTAGTGGCAAACCAGACTCGGCTTTGCCATCAAGATCGAACCAATGAGACGAGCCCACAAGAATGCGCTTGCAAATCAACCTGGCGTCGTATTACGTAAGCAGTAGGCCGCATTCACGATAGCCGTCACGATGGTCTTAATATTGAAAAATTGTAAATTGCCCTTGTGGCCAGGGGACAGACATCGTAAAGTATTTGTACCAAGAGAGGATGAAGAGAAACAGAATTAATCTCGCATATTAGCCATTTTCTCAAGGTAATCTCTCTCACGTTATTTTTAGATACGGTATCCATAGACATAGACATACACATAGACAGTTTTTTTACTTGGTCGCACATTCCTCCCAGATAACGATACCATATGTGTTACATAGATTTTTCTTGGAACATGAAAATGCGTGTTAAGCCAGTTGGGCTGTCCACTTGAGTAAAGATCGCCTCATATATAGAGTTGACTACTACTAGACGCTTCTTAGATTTCTGAAGCTGAGAGTGACCTAAAAATAACTTGAGAGGAATTATCAAGACTTATGTAACAACAGTATTAACATTCTTATCGAGATAGGCGTTTGTTTTTTAATACTTGTTTGGAATGGTTGCCCATGCTTTACTCTCTCCTCTGGCCTCTCGCATAAATATGTACATGGCGTACATATTTATTAGGCGTTTTTGCATTGTTATACTTTTACATTGCTAAATTTTTTACATTGTTCTGTTTTTTATATTGTTATATTTTTATACAGTGGTACGTCGCTCGGGGCCCCACCTATATCAGCCTAGTGCTGAATGCGTTACTCTGCTCGAGAAAAAAGCTGACTTTGAGTTTATCGCCGACTAAGTGAGTCAGTCTTCACTTGACTTCTTGCCATGACCCCCTGGGGGTAGTCGGCTTGCGAGAGCCAGTCTACGAAGTTTGTAATATGAATACAATCATGGCGGCTATTGTGAACGTGGAATATAAAATACTTTTTTTTTTTGGAAACCGAATTGATGAATAATGAAAGCACTAAAAAATACTATCAAGACATAAGCGCGCTGTGGATTGAAAACTAAATTACACGAAAATATGGTTGTTTCGTTTTATTACTCCTTTCTTCTCCAATATGTGAGCATTTTACTTTTTCTCAAAAGATCCGTTAAAAGAATATTGGAATCTATCATAGGAAGACGATTTTGTTGATACGTAGGTAAAATCTCCAAGTTGGTCGTATGAGAATGTCTGAAAAACAGGTTGGGAGAATTTGTAAGTTGACAAGCGAGCGTCAAGATTGTCGAAAAGTGTTTTATTGAAGAAGAACAACGACTTCGTCTTAACAGCTATGACGTGAATTCCTTCAGGGGAAAAAATGTCTTAATTAACATGAAACCAATGAGGTCCTTTTACTTGAGGTCTTCACAGATGTAGTGTAAGTGTTTGACCCGAACCATACCCCCAAAACGGGACACGTCACTCGACATGTCTCAAAGCTAAGTAAAGGATGGACTGCAATCCAATGCCTCAGAGGCGATGCGTCGGAACTAAGCTGAAACCTTCGTTGTATCGTCAATGTTAATTATTATCAATATTGCTTGCCAACTAGAAGCTAATTGATGACTGTATATACATTATTACGACAAGCATAGCACAGGAAATTAAGACCGCCGATTGTATAAAACTGGTTTTCACTCAAGGCCGAATAAAACAAATCAGAGCTCCAACCGAAAAAAAACAACAAACAAACAAAAACAAAAACAAGTAAAACATGTGACCCTTGGCAGGCGCGTGAAAAGTCGCTAGAGCAACTACGTCTAAAAAAAACATTACCTGGCTCTCTTTGGTTAAAACAATTTACACGGGTTTTTACAAACCAATCAAAGCGCTTTCATTCCCATGTGATATCACGCAACTGGCTTCTGCGATTCAAATTCAGTTTGATTTTGTACTTTCCCGCACCTCAGCGGGATCGATTCGGTTCGCTCCTGATCTGCTTCTTCATCTACAATCCGCGGTCTTGTCATCTCTATGTAATCATCAAATATCCTTTCTGAAAACTCGTATGTTTCCTACGATTTCGAGTCCCACTGTACGAATTATAACAGAATCTGCACTGCTATTTATGAAAAACTTAATATTATAAAAGAGCTGTTTAAAAAGCCGAAATAACGAAACCTCGCTCATTTAGAGTGGTTTTCATTTGGGTGTAGAAACGTAATTGGTATTGCATCAACTACGCTTCACGATTGGCTAAAAGAAGAACGCACCAATTTTTTTCATCCAATCAGATGTAAAACAAAACCAATCGTAACTCGTTCGCACATGTTTTCCCGCGCTTTGCGTCAGCTACATGTAATTACTTCGCGTTTTGATTGGTTCAATGTAATGTTTACGGCCTTCGTGATTGGCTGGAGTGATTACCTTGGTTTTGGTTATACGACACTCAATTGAAAACCGCTCTATTCTCGGCAAATGTTAACTAGTTTGTGTAATAATTTTTGAGGATATTGCACAAAGGCTTTGTAAAACAAGAGATCACTCTTGACTGTACTTCATACTTACACGTATGTATTTGTTACGTCAGGGAAATCTGTAATATATTTGCAACGCATCAAATTTATAAACAACTTTTTATTCCTACAATATCCTGTTGTCGTGTTTTGATTTTGATGAGATGAGTGATAGCACTAGCATTTTCTTCAAAAAAGAAATTGAAATCTGATTTACGAAGCGCTGATACTTAGTCAACAATCCCCGACAGGTCGAATGGCAGCCATGTGGTGGGTGTGTTTATGGAACAACCAACCAAAGTCCATCCACCAACATGGCCGCCACGACGTCGCATGTAAATCACACTCGTCACCGGGTCATATCTCTCCTTGGGAACGAGGCGGTTTGTCTCCTTGTACCTTAAATGTTGGTTTGACAGGTAGCCTTAGCAACCGCGACAATGGCAATTCAATTAGGACGTCTCACCAATCAAGATGCTTGCTGCGCATTATAATGGTTCCGCGCGCGCGTTATATACTTAATAGGTCCATCTCGTTCCCAGGTCTCTCATCTTTTGCCCTCTCAAAGAGAGAGGACGGAAAGATATGAGACCCTAGGAACGAGGTTGTTATAGAGGTTTTGCACGGCAGCCATGTTGCATAGCAGCAACAATGAAACTGTTTTGCATTAGAAAGAACATTTTTCCCATAAGAAAAAGAATCTACATGTATTGTTCCTGCCATGCACCATGGCTTCCGTGCTAAACCTCTATTAGGCGTCCGCTGCAAATGACCAAATTATGATTTTTGTGGGAAATGTCATCAAGAAGTCAGTTGAGAGCTAAAACAGAAAATCAATAAGATCAAAACAACTGATAAATATTTTTTTCTGGTATTGGGCCTTTCAGATCTGTCATGGTTGTATTAGCACCCTTATACTTTGAATTTCGTCATTCGATGAAAATTTTCCACTTAGCCACCCTGGGTGCCCCCATTGTCACTTGTAGCATTCACAAGGCATATATCAAAGTTCTGGTTTTAATTCAACAATCACATTTTGCGCTCACAATTGTGCTGCGATAATTGGCAAACAAATAGAACAAACACCACAGACAAGTAAATGTTAAAATTACACAAAAAAAAATTCAAGACGAAATACCACAAACATTCGCAAACACATTTTCCCTATTACGTACAAGGAGGATGTAATGGAAGAAGATCCAATGTCAGACGTCTCGTGAGCCCATTTCGTCGACTGAAAATCAACGTTCTGTGTTTTCAGTGAGCCACTGAAACACGTCTGTAACACAACCACTAAAGTTATTTTTATTACAGAACTTTGAGTTGGACATGTCTTCCATTTTTGAATTGAAAACATCTTTCACTCTAGCACTATTTCGAGTGTTTATCTTGTCAATGAGGTACTGGTGATAAAGAACGTCCGTTACTTGAGGTAAAAACATCAGTGGCGGTTTTGCATGTGATTATAAGCCGCATCTCTCTCGTACAACAAATGAGAATAACGCGTCTGCAGTTGATGTTCACGATCTGTTTGCCTTCTTACGTCTTCTCTCAGGGCCTGCCAGGAGAACAAGATGAGAGTGTACGTTAAATAGTGAATTCACGAATATTTTATTCACACACATTCCTTTTCGTCCTTAACTAATCAGCAACTTGTCCACATACGCGAGGAAAATTTCGCGACCGCGAACTGGCGAAGAAATTAATCAATCTACTGACGACTTTTTCAGAATTTTCTCGATTTTAAAGTGTTTATAACAGCAACGCAATTCTTAGTTACGAGTCTAGTGATTCCCTAAAAGTTTGCTTTGACGCATTTCTAGAACTACATGTATAACCTCTTCCAGGCGCCTCTCTCCTTTATTGCCCTCCGCCGTTTTCTCGCGCTGAGACCCAACTAACTGAACGCCTGGAAGAGGCTACTACAAATAAAGTGGCAAGCATACCTCAATTCTCTTGGGGATAGCTCTCAGTTCGTGCTCTCTCAAGGAACTGAATGTTTCTTTCTCAGTGTGAGTCTGTTCAACTTGCTCGTAAAGGTCGTTAATTTGTTTCGTCAAGCCGACAGCACGACTCTGTAGGGTGGAAAATATCGAACATGCTTAGCTCACGAAAGACATAGAACTAAACAATAGCATGAACGGCCAAACATGAGGTTCTCACTGATGGTGTTCAAGTTCGCGCTTTTCAAACAGACCGGGTGAAAAGGGGGTGAGATAGGGGCACTACACACGGTAATATTTACACGAGAAAAGGAGACATCTATGGGACGTTATTTGAGAGGGTAAGAACAATTGAAACTCTAGTTTAAGAAAGAAAAAACAACTGTTCGCTTCCATAAATAAAATCCTTGTGTTACGCCTCCGCATGCTTGTAGCTATTGCCCAAACACAGTATCGATCATACCTGATAACCACCGAGAAGAACTTTCAGCTTCTTTTCAATTTTGGCCGCTCTCTTTGCGTCTTCGGTCATGTGAGTTCGGTTCAACTTAAAACAGACACAAACAAAAGGCAATTAGCAAGCTGCATGAGTGAAAAATCAATCAACGAAGAAGGCCAAGGGCCTGTTTATACCAAGAAGCGATGCCCAAGGTTCACCCTCCGACATACTGAATCACCGGGGAGCTGAAAGCCGCCAACCTAAAAATGGTTGCGACAGTTGTAACTTTTCAAAATTCCCTGACTTTTCCCTGATAAAAATAAAATTTCCCTGGCCAATTTATTACAAGATGTCAGATATAATAGCGGCTTCTAGCCTCATTTTACATCCTTTCCACTCTTTCATTACTGTAAGACTGATAAGTTTTCAACAGATTTTCCTACTTCATTAAGTTAAGTTACCGTTGAGATCACAGTGACCCCAAATGTTTCTTCCGGCCTTCAATGGTATTAAATCAGCCGTGTTAAATAATTCAATTTTCCCTGACTTTTCTTCAAAATGTCAATTTCCCCTGACACAAAATAAATTTCCCTGACTTTACCATGACCTTGAAGAAATTTCCTGACCATTTCCTGACCTGTGACAACCCTCCTAAAGTTGGCTTTTGGGCCAGGAGGATCACTTGCTTTGAAGGTAGGGTGACGCTGGGCTTTGCACATGTGCTGAGTCAGATCTCAACCGGAAAACGTACTGTAAAGCCCTCTACTGAAAGGAAGTCTCTGTATCTATAAAATAGAATTCATACCTCGAGTCGTTTTTCTAAAGATTCCAGTTTGTCTTTCTTGCTGGCTAAAGCTGCCCTAGTGAATCGCTGTTGTGTCGGTAGAAACAAAACCTACAAGACACGAAAACATTTGTGTTACGAAAGTGTAAATCAAAATTATTTTTTCCATAACAGCTAAATTTTCAAACTTTATCCCTTCTCTGTGTAAACGAGGACATCTTGCGGAAACCTCCGTAAAATAAACAACAGCATATGAAAGTGCTCTTCAGTAACTTTCAAATCTGAAAGGTCACACAGCGCGGACGGTTGTTTTCCACAGTGTTTAAATTCTGAACCACCTGGTACAGCATAACATACATTACATGTACTGCTCAGTAGCTATTATTTGAATGGTCGCACACCGGGGTTTAATCCGATTACACGCCGGTGTATGACCATCGGCAACGGACGTAAAAGTTAGAACCACCTTGTGAAGCATAATACAGTAAATACCATCGCAAGGAAGGCATTACTCAAAAGCTGCAATGTTCAAATTTAAGATTCAAAATCAGAACCTGCACCGTAAAAGAACAGTACCTGGGCATAGCATTCCTCCCAAACTTTAGTGTAACTTTCAATGGGTAGATCACCGTGAGCCATTTTAGACTTGACAAATTCCATTTCGTTCGCCAGGACTTCCCTCGCGTTAGCGATCTCTTTGTCCGTGAACGTTTCCAGAGGGTTGGTATCGAGTGCCGCTTGGTTAGCGGCGATGACCGCCTGGGCAGCGCTTTTGGATTTCTTGTGCGTTAGGTTTTCGATTTGCAGTGCTGTCGGGTGATTGACAATATCGTGTCTGATCATACTGACCATCTCCCGCTTGATAAGTTCCTCCGCCTAAAGCAACAGTTAATATATTACTCAATGCATCAGTCTTGTTAAAAGCGCAACTCACATGAAGATTTCCATGGCCGAAAGCGGTATGTTGATGCAACGTTTGAGGCAACACAGATTCCATCCAAGAACAAACAAACGAACGAATGAACCCGTCACAATAAACTTGGATAACACGAAGTGTCTGACGAAAAGAACCGAATTTTCCGATATAAACAGTTCCGTAAAACTTAAATAGTCAATTTTCAGGCACCGAACCTGGGGCCTGTTTCTCGAAAGCCCCGGAGACGTTTCGGGCCCGAAAAGCCATTGTTAGTTAATCGGTATTTAAAGACAGAGTGGTGTATACGCCTGAAACTTCTTGTACGGAATGGAACCTCTGTTTATATTAAGAATATGTGAATAAAACAGATCTGTAATCATAAGGCTTGAGATTTTGCTACGACTTTCAGGGTGCGAAAACCTTTCGGGACCTTCCAGAAACGGGCCACTGTACTCATTAAGTTTATAAAAGTATAGCAGCATAGCTCATTTCACTTGTCAGTGCACCACAGCAGGTCAAATGAATACGGAGTGTCTGTCTGTGTTTTTGTTTTGCTTTCTTTTCTTTTGTTTTTTGTTATTGCTGTTTATTTGTTTGTTGTTGTTTTTTACCTGCTGTAATCCTGTGAGGGGTGGATCAACGTTAGCCGGCCGGAGAACAGCAGCGTTCGCATCTGAGGGGCGCGGCATGTTTCGTTGTACGGCTTGAGAGCGGCGTCTAATCTCTCTCAACTCTGCCCAAAAAAAGCGTAATGTGAAATCAAAATCAACGAAATCACTAGCTTGAAACAAAACACTTGCAATGCAATGTTGATACACTTGCAATGCAATGTTGAGCCACAAAGCACCAATATGAGACAGCCTGGAAAAGGTAAGGAAAAAAAATCATTTTCCGTCAGTACGATTCGAACCCAAGGATTATTCCTAGCGTTAAGTATCTGATTTTCAGCTTGTTACGTTTGGTCGACAGTTTCCTTTCCCAGGGCTGACACTCGGAGGGAAATTCAAGGGTTATATGTGTGGTTCATACTTTAAATTCCTAGAGTTAATTCTCCGATTTCCAGCACAGCAGGTTTGATCAAGAAGATACTCGTTGACAGTGAGGAAACTAACGAGTCACTTAACAAAATTTGTAGTTTCACCTCATCAACCCTACCCAAAGAATCGTCAATTTGACCAAACAGAATTGCAAAGCAGTCGTATCTAATTTAATAACTTAGGATGCAGACCTTCCGCTGCCTTCATGGCCATTCGTCTCGCATCAATATCAGCTGCATCTTCAACAAAGCTTTCATCTTTGGTCTCCTCCACCTCCTCTTCAGCAGTCTGCAACAGTAAGCAAGAAAACTCTCCCCTGAAAAATTCTGGCCATCACGCTCGTGAAAGGTAACAGGGTCACAATTGCCAATTTGATACAAACACTATAATTTGCAATAAGTTCCTCCGGAGAAGTTTGAGCCCGACCGCCACGACCCTAAAGCCGTTCATCACGTTAAACAAGAATGAGACACTGTGTCCTAGAAAACGGCTGGAGAGTGATCTTACAATGAGGAAGCAAAATGAATGGAAGAAAAAGACCTTGCGGCGAAGAATCCACAATTGCCAAGTCATAAGAAAAGAAAAAAACACTGCCCCTTTACAACCCTAAAAAAGCATTTATGTAGGGATAGTTGATCCGGAAGTAATTTAAAAAGCTGTCATGATAATTAGTTTACTTGGATGGTAATAACAATGCATGATGACATAAAACGGGTTACTTACCTCAGGCAGCACAATCTCAAAGTCATTGGAAGGGGTTGGAAGCGATGCTAGTCCTGCTCTCAACTCTGCCTTCAACTCTTCCTACAAGAAAACAATAAATAAACAAAACACCACGGGTCTCAGATAAATGAGTGAAACATCTCATATATTCCATGCAATGTTCAGTGGCACAGCGAAGCCATTGCATGGCAAATTTCCCTACATAATGGAGAAGAACCTAGAATGCAGTAATTTTAAAATACTTCATGTGAAAAGTTTCTTCTTCACCAACTTGCAGCATCGTTTTGTTATATTATTTCAATCTTTGTTGTTTCCGTATGGTTTGACCAGTGGAAAAAAAATCATTTCAAGAAGTCAGAGAAACCCGTTGTATATAATAAGCATCTGGGTCTCAAGAGATGGAAAGAAGCATCATGGTTACATGTGCAAGGAAAGATTCTAACTGAATTGTACAGCAAAGCATACATACAGCTTAAATCAAGCCAGGGTACAAGACAAGCTGTACATGTTTGGTCTCCTAATGAGGAAAACATGATTGTTATAAGAGTAATAAGTCTTGCCTGTTGTTGTTTAGCTCCATAACCTGATTCGTACTCCTCCATCAGCGACTCCTCTGGGTTGATGTTCAGCTTGTCTCGTACTGATGCACGTCCGGGTGTGGTGCTGCCACCACCTCCCCTCTGAGGGGTTCCACCCATACTGCGTGGGGTGGTCCCTAAAACAAAAATAACAAAGGGTGAATAAGAGTCATTCACAACAAAAACATGTCCATCATTTCACCATTAATTTTTTTCTCAGATTAACAGCTTGCAAATGAATTAACCCATAACAGATAACCAGATCCTACTTCCTTTAATCCAGATTCTAAACAAACATGGAAACTGCAGCAACAGGGCACTTTTGAAATAGCTGCATTGGGATTCAATCAGTTTGCACACAACCCAGACAGCTTACCTCCCCCCTCTCCCTGTGGTGTCCTGTAAGGTGTAGCAAGCATCATGTTTGGGGTCTGAATAGCCTGATGTCTTGGGGTGACACCTTCAAAGTCACTCTGTTTCATGGGTGTGTTCATGCCACCTTTTAAAGGAGTGTCCACATTTGATAATGCCAAGATGTTCTGAGCTTCCTGGAAAGATAGAGAAAATAGAAGAGTTACATGTATGCATTGATTAAGGCGTTTTGTCTAACTAGTGCAGGTCTTTCAATAGCACATGGGGCTGGGATTTGCCATCATTCCAGAAGTAAATGTATTCATTAGTTTGCACAAAACACTATTGGTCTTCAGGGACTACAAGTCATTTTGAGTGCTGATCACAGTGGTTTGATTGTTTTCTTGTGCAAGACAATGCAAAACTCTCACAGAGCCTGCTCTCTCAGTATAACAACACTAAATTGGCGAGGCAACCCAAAAATTGGAGGGAGACACACATGTATGGTAGACTGGAACTTCATCTGTTCAGTGAATCTGTATTCATGACACACCACAGGTCAATTAAGGTGATGGATACCAGTGCTACACCAAAAGAACAAGCTCTGTAGGTCACTGTCACACTTAAGCAGAAGTTCCCACAACAATGCATAAATTCACAAGTTTCCACATGCAAGCAACCCAGGAATACATGTACCTGCAATATTGTGTCCTGCTCTGCAGGTGTGCGAGGAGTCCTCAGGGCCTGAGCTGCAGCAGGGGTCACTGAGTACTCACTCAGGAGAGCGTTTGATGCCAAGTGACTGTCTTCCACTGATAAACGAGCCGTCTCACTAGCTTGGCCCATTTTGACAATCTAACAACAACAATGACAAGATTTTAACTTTGCTGTCAACTCAAGACTGGCTGAGTTACATGGCCAACCAGGAGAACATTTTAAGTCATTGATAGTTGTACCATAGCCATATTTGAATAACTGCATTGTATTATAACTGTCAATAATTGTCCCAGGTGTTTAACTTTTGTAATATGGACAGATAATGAGTGCTATAAGAGTACAATGATCTCCTATTATAAATGTTTTAATAGTGCGTTGGACTTAATTTTTTGATCCTGTCTATTAAGACCCATTACAGTTATGTACCTCTTCTAATTCTGTGTCAGAAATCTGCGGCTTGGGAAGAACAAGCTTGCTGCGCTTCTTTACGGAATCAGGATTGTTTAGCCTAAAATGACAACAAAAACACTGACATCATTTCGGGTTTATTCATTTATATGATGGTAGAGTGTGTATTTAGATTTGTACATGTACCTTTCATGTTTTTCACATTGTAAGGACAGCCAATATTTCATTCAAAATCATCTTGTTGTTATACATGCAAACCAAGCATAAACCAATTCTGAGAGCAGCTTACTTATTAATCTGCATGACAGCTCCTGGAAGATCACTCTCTTTTCTCTTCTTCATTTTTTCTTTATCTTTCTTTCTCTCTTGCTGTCAGAAAAAAAGCAAATGGAAGGAAGAAATACATGTAAGCATTCCTGTTTACAACAATTATTATAAATATGACTGAGAAAATTACTTTATTTATTATTTTGATTGGTAGAGAGCAGGCCAATTATTATTTTAACAATAATTTTTAGTTTACACTACAGTGCAAATTAGCCTGCATGCATTCGTGATATTCTCACTCATATAATAAATGAGTAATCATATGAAAGCTCAAACAATTAAAAATTTACACCACTTCAAATCAAGGTCTAATACCAGAGCCCTGTTATTGAAGTGCAACAATGAAGATTTTAAAAGGGCATAATGTAAGTGCAATGGGATACATTTGCACACAACAAATGCAGCTGAGGATTGAAAATCAAGACAGACATTAAGAAATGTTTATGAATACAACTACATGTGACAAACATATTGTTAACAGCAATCACCTGTTCAAGATCATCTCTCATTTTACCGTCCAGGTGATCCTGACGAAGCTTTTTAAAATCAGGTTGATAATCAGGCAGTTCCTCTTCACCAGTGTCATAGAAACCTACAATGGGATTATTGACAGTGTCCAACACAAGACTGACTTTCACTTACAAGTACACTGCACAATGTACAGGGTGTACATATATGCACATTCATGCAAAGTACATGTACCATTGAAAGTATTACATGTAAGTTTACAAGTGACAGATTGAGAGCACTAGTTAACTGCAACTTTCAACAGTTTGGACCAGAGTCTTGAGTCTCCTCTGGTGGGGCATAATTTATTTAGCAAGCTTGCTGTTTGACTAATCAGCTCTTGTACACACTGTAAGGCATACACTGCAACAAAAAACTCTGTTATGAGACATTGCAGCTTTACAAGAAAAGCTGTCAACTTTATACATGTATGTGTATGCACTAACAGCTCTCAGTAGTGAATGTTACAAGCAAAAATAGAGCTGGAATTTCTTCTGGCCTGTGTGAATCGATCACTAAAAGGTTGTCACTTAACGCCAATTTCTTCATATCACACATCAGTGATTTAACATCCTTTAAGACACATTTTTGATTAATGCGTTAAAGATACCACTTCTTTGTATTTTCAGTACCTTGAGCAGGTTTCTTTTCAAATGGTATTTCAGCATTATAATCCACCCCTCTTCTTTTCTTTCGATGTTTTCTTATCCTGTAATTAAGAAAAAAGAGTGCTTTGTATTATTTATTTCATCTTATTTTATTGACAAAAGTACAATCTTTCATGAGCATGCACGTGTAGTGCAAACACATATGTGAATCAAACTTGTCTGAGACAGAGATTTAGTACGTTGAGTGTTATTTTTGCTCCTCCTTCAGTTGTCTGTTTAATTCACTCTTGTTCAATGAAGTTCATAATTCAGTATGTACCCTATACACATGGACATCTATAACCTGCATTAAGCTCTAAGACCAGATTCTTCGTTGAAAAAAAATGTGCAACTTTAACATGTAATTTTCAGCTTACTCTATTCCTGCAGCTCTCAACTCCCTTCTCTTTTGCAAAGCAGCAAGACGCCTAAAAAAATTGTTTAATATGTTAGTACTAGATACTGTAAGGAAGATAACATGTATGTCTTCCTGATATGCCTAATGTTAAAACAAGGTTTGTTTGATCACTCAACAAATTGGATCATTGCTAGTAGATCCAAAAACAAATAAATTTAATTCAGTTAAGTATAAGAACAAAATGTGTCCAACTATCGAATGCACAGTGTTTCTTGACAAAACATTGAATATTATTTAAGTAAACATGCAATACTAAAGGAACATGTACATGTATTATGCACATGTACTCTTCAAGACTTTTAATTGATTAATAACTTTCACTGCAATACAAATGGACCCAAGTTCAAAATTCAAAAAGAAAAAATCTGCATTATATTTTTTCCAAAAATAATTCATATTTGGAAATAGTCCAAGCCAGTGATATGAAACTACCTACGGAATACAATGCTACAGTGTCAGCAACAGACTGACAAGGTCCAACTGACTAGCTAAGCTAGACTGTGACAGTTAGGTTAACTCTTCCAAAATGTACTGCCCTAATAAAACTCACCTGGCCTCCTCAAGTTGTTTCTCCCTGGCTTTCCTCTTGGCCTTTTTACCCTGAGTATTAGCCAGACGAGCTCTGGCCTCTGACAACATTTCCAACTCTGATAGTTACAAAGAAACAAAGGGAAATACAGCAACAGTATATAACAGTTGTACCCTATTGAAGTAATGTCATAATTGCAAACAGATATGAACTGTCTATACTTCAATCGCACTTTTTTATAATTATACATGTAAGAAATTGAAAACATTTTCTATAGTTCTATTGAGTTATAGAATCACAAATAGAGGTTTGAGATGACATGAATAGCCAACAAAATATGAACAGCAAGCAAGGGTTTCTACAGTTTTAATCTCCTGTCAGTTATTCTCTCCTGAGAGGACACTTTTTTCTAATCTCACAGGGACAGCTTCCTACAAAAGGCTTGACCATGCATGTAACAGTTATTTAAATTGATAGTAATCAATGTGAAAGATGAATTTAAGAATGGATAATATTGGCTTTACCATCTTCATCCATGTCAATGGGATCAGGTCGTGCTGGCTTTGTTTCAGGGTTAGGGTCAATTTCTCCTGGTCGTAATTTCCGTGGATCCTCGCCCTCATCTTTTTCGCCTTCTTTAGCTTGGGCTTGATCTCTGGAAAAGATTAACTGAAACTTTTACTTTCATTTATACTTTCTACTTTTATTTATAATAGTGCTGCCCAAATATGTGAAGACAGTACACCTACACTAAATGACAAATACAGTAATACTATTTATATTATAAAACAACTTACAAAAGAAATTCATATCTCTCCAGACACTGTGACGCTGTGCGGCCAATCAGAGGAGCAATTGTTCGCCACTGTGTTGGCATCAGCTTTGCCAAATGAAGTAGCTTTTCGTCTTCTTCTCTGCTCCATTCAGTCTGTCAACAGCAAAATAAAATATTTGAGTGTGTCTGTTACTTTATATACATGTAGCACAGCTAAAACAACAATATTCATACCTTTTTAATGCTAGGATCCAACCACTCATACCTGAAAAGAAAAAAAACATATTTTGATAAATGTAACATAAATGTTAGTACCTTATAAACATACATGTAAGTACTTACATGCATCCAAGAAAAAGGAACTCGCTCTTTATATATTTGTTAACACTTACCATCTGGCCTTGCACTGTTTGGCTGACTTGCGGTGCAGCAAAGATGCAATTCTAGACCACTGATTCTTTCCGTATTTCATAACTGCCGCCTTGAGAATTTCATCCTAAGATTTCACAAAACAAAAGTAAAATACACAATTTACAATTTAAAAATCTCATTCCTCTATAGAAAGTTTATCAATAATTGAATTACAGTACAGAAGCTACATGTAGGAACCAAATTAACAGTCAATCAGTGCTCCATGTTGTTAGAAAGATAGAAACAAACAGGTACACACATGTTTTGGTTCATGATCGAATGAGTTCGAGAACCAAACTTTTTGGTTAGTAACATCAGAAGTTTATAAACCTCTGGCTACACATAAACTTAAGCTTAAGGCTTACGGTGAATTTCTTTGAGACCCAGACCAGGATCAATAATCCAAGATCACGCGGATCATAGAGCATCAAAGAAACCGATGATTCCACTCTGAGGCAGGACTGATCGTTTCCTTTGATGTACTAAGATGCCAGTGACCTTGGATCAATGATTCCGGTCTGGATAATCCCAAACACTGCGCAGTTGACTTTGCAGACGAAAGTGAGCTTACCTCAGTGTTTCTCCACACTCCACCTTTGATAATGATTCGCGGCATGGTGTTCAGTAAAGTTATTGGCTTCTTATAAAGATCGAGCTGGGGTCAAATGACCAAATCCAAAAGATCTAAACAAGGTTCTACTCCTTTGAAATTTGTGTCAAGGAAGCAACATGGCCAAGGTCCTTGTAGTTCCCAGCATGCCTTTAGTACATCTATGTAAACAGCACGAAATGTACCACTATCCAACTTGGCCTAAAGTGAAAAATACGCGGTGCATTTTATTTATTTGTTTATGAAGAATAGCATATGAAGAAAGGAACTCAAAATGACCTTTTAATAAATAATCATATAATTCGGATGGCCTGGCCGTATGATGAAGGAAGGGATTCAAGTAAAAAAAAAAAAGACCCTTCGACAACGACTAACTACGAACCTGACCAGCGGACTCTTCATAAAGGTTGAACACTTGAATGCGTGGGTACTGGACACTAACTATGCTTTTAGCAACATGGCGTCGAAGGTGAGACCAAAGTTCTTTTCTCCTTACGTTGATGAAAAAATATTAAGAAGCCTTCAAAAACGCGTATCTCCACGGAAAACATCCCAGGAGTTAGAAGCTAGTAAAGGTAGGTTTCATAAAAATATGTGGCTCAAGTATTGGCGTTGACTTTATGCCCAGGAGGACTTTCATCAACATGCCCATGGCAGACATTTTAGCGGACAAGGGCGAACTTCAGGGGTTGTATGGGATCCATTACGTTAGATTCAAAAACATTAAAGAGCTTTAACCTAGAGATACTTAGCAGTGGGCTGTAATTATCTTCAAAGGTTATTTTCATGTAAAGCATGTACGTGCAAAAGAGGGAACCATCCCATTTTAGGCTTAAATACGCCTTGCCCTGTCCCATTGACAAGGTGAGTCAAAACATACCCCCAAACAAAAAGAGACCCAAGTGTCGAAGTAATGTCACCCCCCCCCCCCCC